CACACACACACTGACAGGTTCGTTGCAATATGCGTTTTTGCTGCCTGTTGCAGCGTTCCAGTGCTGCACGGCAAAAACTCATAAAAACTGCGGTGGGAAAATGATTTCGTGATCTAGACAAGCTAGAAAGCTCAAATTATGCGATTATGTTCTCTATTCGTGTGCGATCTGAAAATTTTAAATTCAGCTTTGGCTCACATTTAGATCTTCTGTACCAACAAATGAAAAGTAGAATTAGGGCGTTGTTGACAACCTTTTAATCAGGTAACCAAACTGAATGGATGGCTACGTTTTTTTTTAAAGAATGTCTGCTGTTTACTCCTAAGCTTTAAAAGAATTTCCTTGTTCACGCGTTGTATTTGAAGACGTCAAACGCTGAATTTGAAAACTGTCGGGACCTTCTCTCTATCTCTGTCTCGAAAAGCAGATAGACTCTAAAAATGTAATTTTACGAGCAACACCGGATGCTTGAGATCAGCTCACACTTAGGCAGCAAAACTCAGGTTGCGAAATTGTCGACATCCTCCCCTCCCAGTGAAATTTCACAGGTTCCCATAATGGAGCACTGCGGCTCAACCGATTACTTCCCCTCTCTTCTATTCCCACTTGCTTCTCTCCCACCTCCTCGTATGCAACAAGAGAGCAGCAAGGATACTTCCAGAGTAAGTACATACAGAGGGATGTAAAGTGCCACCATCCATGCTTCTCAATCCTATTGCTGCGCGAATTCGCGTAAAAAACGCATAGTCACACCGGCAATCATTTGTTCTAAACGGTCCATTTTAACATTTTCTCACTGAGAGCGAAAGGCTGCCAGATATCACTAGTATTGTTTATTTATCCATTAATTCGAAACTGAAATCAGTCGTTGGTATTCTGAACAGATGTATTTTTGAAGGATGCTATCTCAGTTTACGATGGCCTTATAATGCTTGATATGAAGCGACTGGAACATTCACGTCTCATACGGTTCAACGTGTCGGCTGAGCAGAATTCTGCCGATCTTGGTAGGAACTGTAAAAAGTATTTAGGCGGGCTGAAAAGTGTAGGGCCAACGAAATTGCCTTGCAGAGATTGTTGACACATGCCACCTCAACACCTTTTCGTAGCAAGTTCTGAAGGCACAAGCTATCAGAAGCGTCGCTCCAATGAGTTCTTTACATAGCAAAGTGCAGAATTTGTCAGATGAAAATTCAAGGACTTCAAGGATCTCTCTGGTAAATCAAAATGCAAGGGACGGGTAAAGAATCACATTTGGGATCTTTGGCTTACTAAGAATCATTTAATTTGCAGCAGTAGTGGTGCTGTTACTAAGTTCGGATCCGGATGAAGTGATGCGTCAACGAAGAAAGCAGTCCCAACCCAAATTCATCCATCCATGGAGAAGAGATATGAATATCATACCGGCAAATTTTTTTTACATTTTCCCATTACGATATGAAAACTAGCACATTTTAGGAATGCTTTAACAGAATGCAAATTTACAGATAAAATTAGCTGAAAACTCACTGAAAGGATATACGATTATTTCGTTGCCTGCTTATAATCCAGTAGATGGATCAAAAGTAACTGAATTGAAGCTTTCTGGTGAAATGGCTCAACACTTTATTGTGGGCCAAAAAAGTGGTTAGTCACATTTTCCAGTTTTAAACGTGGCTTATTTGACTGATAAATGGTATAGGAAGTTGTTTATTTT